ACCTACATCAAAACAAACAAGAGAACAACAGGTGTATCCAGGTCAGGTCCAGAGGTGTGGAAGCTTCATTATGGCCATGAATTGTTCTGCTAATTAAACCTCACACTCTGTACAGGTCAATAGGCCCAACTAACAAACAGAAACTGTAAACAAGTGTGTGTTAGTTTCAGTGTAGTTTCAGTGTAGTTAGCTCCTCCCTGCAGATATAAGGAAGTGTCACCAGCGTCTGACCAGAACTGAAGAAGCAGCTTGGATGAGCTGCAAAACTTCTTCAACCAAACTAACTTTTGTCCAGTCGACAAACGGAATTTTCTCCTCGACATGGATTCTACCTGGACGACTGAGGGATTCTTCACACTTGTCACTCGTGCGACTGTTTTGGGGATCGGGCCGAGTTTTGGCTTCATCGTGTGTCGTGCTTCGTGTAGTAAACATGGGGTGAAGAAAACCGATTTATACCTCACGACCAGCTCCCGATCGGCATTCGTAGGTCACAAGAAAATCTCTCCTGTCCTTGCTTGAAATCCAGTCGCCTCTCGTGAGGGTTTCGCTCTGTTGAAGTCGTTCCACAAGCCGATTTGCCAGAATCTGTCAGACTGAGCATGTGCGGACACAGAAGTGGAAGCAGGATTTGAGGTTGCGAAGGACGATGGCACCGGCGACTGTTCTGGACACAGGACATGGAGGCGCAGCTGATCGAGCAACACAGAACAGAAGTTTGGTGAAAAACTTGATGCGACTTACCTCCAGTTCCTTCTAAAGAACTGACAACCCGTACTGCCCACGTCTGCCCACGTCTGCCCACGTCTGCCCACGTCTGCCCGTCTGCCCACGTCTGCCCACGTCTGCCCACGTCTGTCCACGTCTGCCCACGTCTGCGCAGCCAGTTCTTTGACCAGATTCGTCGCCTCTTCTTTTTGGGCTTGTCTGCGCAGAGAATGGAACAAATTGCCAAAGCAGCGCGTCTGTTTTTTGCCTGGATCATTGTGTCTCCGCATGTCTGTGATTTTCTAATTCCGTGGTTTTCTTCTTCGTGGTTTTCTACAACAGCTCCGGTCGTTATGTGGACGTACAGTGTGCGCAGGCAGGTCGCGTTCAAGCATCGGTTCGTTCAGTGTGAGAACATGATTCTTGAGCTGTGAACTTTTAAACCCTGTGATTTGCTCGTACAGTTTAAGCTGGGGCTGAGTGACACGACCGAAAATATCACACAGTGTACACCCGGCATTCCTCTTTCTGTCTCTTTTCTCTCCCACTATCTCTCTCCTCATCTTCTATCTCTTTCCCCTATATCCTCTTCCTCCCTCCCTTCTCCTCCTCTCCGGCACAAAAACTCATATTTCGTTCAAAATTGTAACACACAATTGTTCCAGAGAAGTTTCAAATTCTCTTTTTTAACAATGAAAAACATGCTTCTGTTTTTCTCTGTCCAAACTGAATTTCAATTTTGGGATTTTGTTTTTTTTATTGAACTGTGACTGAACTGTTCCTCCTGAAATAATACAAAAGTAGAGTTTAAAGAGGGAGTATTAAACTTCTGCGAGGTATGAACTGTAACACATAATATATTTAGATCACCATGTTACCTTTTATTGATTTGAAAATGCTGTTGTACTGTTCTCACAGACAAATTGCTCATAAAAGGTGACTTATTTTAAGATGAAAGTAAGTAAATGAATTCATCACAGATCTGTTTTTATCATTAGCATATTATCTGAGGATGCGTGATACAAACAAAACAACCATTAAGCAAAGAAAATTACCATTTAAATAAATAACAGCTTCATCAAACCAGGTCCTGCGAATGTGCACTGGGGCGGTTCACAGACGAGTGTGAAGTCGCTGGGATGAAGAGATCAGCTCCTCCAAACCTGAGGCCATGAGTCCCTGCCTCAAGTGGAGGAGTTCAAGTATCTCGTGGTCTTGTTCTCGAATGAGGGGAGGATGGAGCGTGAGATTGACAGGTCGGCAGTGATGCGGTCGCTGTTCTGGTTGTTCCTCTCCTCACCTATGGTCATGAGCTCTGGGTAATGACCGAAAGGAAAAGATCACGAATACAAGTGGCTGAAGTGAGTTTCCTCTGCAGGGAGTCTGGGTGCTTCCTTAGAGACAGAGTGAGGAGCTCAGTCACACTGATGCTGGATGTCTCCAGGCAGTGCTGGGGAGTAACAGATTACATGTACCAGAGTTACGTAATCAGAGTACAAATTATGAGTAACTGTATTCAGTTACAGTTACTGTTTCAGTGAGTGGTAATTGGATTACAGTTACTTTGTTGAAATAAATGGATTACATGGCGGTATTTTCCTGTTTTTACATTTTGGGCTATATCCCCTTTTTTTTTTTTTTTTTTCTGGAATTCCACTCATTGCCGGACACTAAACCAGGTCTAAACCACCAGGTCTAAAACAATGTCTAAACCAGGTCTAAACCAGGTCTACTAAACCAGGTCTAAAACAGGATTTAACAGGATTAAACCATGCAGCGCAGACCGTGTCTCCTCCTCTTCTATCAATAATATTTTTTAATATGGTTAAGGAAAGTCTGGTCTTTGCTTCTCTACAGCAAATCAAGTAATCCAAAGTATTCAGATTACGTTACTCACCTTAAGTACTTTAATGGATTCTGTTACAAACTACATTTTGGGGTATGTAATCTGTAATCTGTAGGGGAATACATTTTAAAAGTCACCTTCCCAACACTGCCTCCTGGGTGTCTCCCTCGGGAGGTGTTCCGGGCATGTCCCACCGGGAGGAGGCCCCGGGGAAGACCCAGGACACACTGGAGGGACTATGTGTCTGGGCTGGCCTGGGAATGCCACGGGGGGGTCTCCCTGGAGATCTAAACTCATTTATATGAATCTGTGTAGGTAGTTCATTTGGACAGTCGTATTCTGCTCAAATCGGCTCCGATTAAAGGAAGCACATATCGACATTACAATTTAACCATCCGATAATGCTCCCACTGTAGAATCACCATTATTCACTCATTTAGATGAATTTGAGGAGCTCGTTTCCACAGGCCCAGATCTTTTATCAAATAAGACTCTCACTATAGAAGAGAAAGAAATGACTGGAAACACTCAAATCTTTATAAAATATAAAATATAAGGTAACATTTTATAATAACTACACCTTATTTAGCCTTAATAAAGCATGAACAAAGGCTTAATTAATAATGATTCACGCTTAGTAACTACTTAATTACTACCTTAATTATCACTTAACTTGCACTTAATTCACCTGTGCTGTAAATAGTTACTCAATACTTCTTAATTACTCATGAACTAACCATTTGCATGTTTACAAATGTATATTTAAGTTCACATTTGAGCATTTGAGAGAATGATTTACTAATAATACAATGCAGTGATCATTCAGGCAGCTGTTATCTGTTAGTTAAGTCTTTCTGAGAGTTTTTCTAAAGTGAAGGGTAATTATATTTATTAAGCATTTGTTAAAGTTGGTCAAATTCCAGAGAAACAATAATGCATTATTAGTAAATCATTCTCTCATGGCTTAATAATCATTAATAAATGCTCAAGAACTGAGGCTGGTTCTGAGGTGGAGCAAAGCATCCAACTGACGCTTTCACACCAACGAAAACGAACCGAACTAAGAGCTTTTGGTTCAAATGGACCAGGTCCGGGACCAGACCGGGACCAGAGCGCTACTGAGACTGGGACCAGAGCGGGACCAGAGCGGGCCTGAGACCGAGACAAGACCAGGACCAGACAAGGACCAGACCAGAGGTTCAGAGCCCACGACAGGGTCGGAGCTCGAAGCTGAGGCTCGGACCCCGCGGAGGCTCGGAGTCAAAGCTCGGAGTCAAAGCTCGGAGTCCTGCCCGGTCTGGTCCCGCTGGTCCCGCTGGTCCCGGTGGTCCCGTGGTCCCGTCCCGCTGGTCCCGTCTGGTCCCGGTCTGGTCCCGGTCCCGGTCCCGGTCCAGTCCCGCTCTCCGTTTTTTTTTCCATTCTTCATTTAAACACAAAATCAAAAACTGAAAAAACGAATCGTTATCCGTTTTTTCATTTTGGTTTTGGAGGCAAATAGTGAAAAAAACTGTTGTTTTTTTCGTTTTCTTATTTTTATATTGAAAAACGAATGAACGAATGAACGAATGATACACAGATTTAAATATGTTCCGTGTTACAGTTAATTCTCCACAGAAGTAAAATCTTCATCTGTAATGAAAAATTACAGATTCTAAATAAATGCACTTTTGTATTTTGACCCCGGCCCGTGTGTCATTATGAAGTCTATATTTAAATGCACACAGAGCGGTGGGAGCGAGCGCACGGCAACACACACTCCAGTTCACCAAATCCCTCATCAACAAAGCTGCTCTCCTCCTCCTCTCCTCCTCCTCTCCTCCTCCTCTCCATCCTCCTAGGTTTTTCTCGTGGTCGCACACTCCCTCTCTCCTCCTCTCCATCTTTTCTTCCGAATCCGCTCCATCCCTCCCGGTTTATCTCCTCCCTGACTCCTCCTCTGCGTCTGTCCTGTCTTTTTTTCTTACCCCTCGTTTCCATCTCTCTCCCTCCTCCTCTCCATGTCTTCCCCTCCTCCTATTATAACCTAGACGAGAAAACAGCCTAATGTGGGCCTTTTAAAAACCCGTGTCATCTTTAAACGTGGAGACAGATAAGTGTAATGTCGATTTACGGTGGAACGTTCTAGGTGAAGCTGTGTGATCTGAAGTAGAGGTCTGCGCGGGACCAAATTTTGAGTCCCGCTCCTGCAAAGAATTGTAATTTTCAGTCCCGCTCCCGCCCGCATCTGCAATATTTTGTCCCGCGCCCGCAAGTCCCGCAGGATGGGAACCTTTGCTTTCTTAAACTCTATCAAACACGGACAGGCGAAAGAAATTGGGCTGCGTATGAGAGGAGGCGCGGTGGGCGATCCGGCGGCATGGTTAAGTCCTGACAAAATCCTGTTTTAGTCCTGGTTTTAGAGCTGTTTTTAGAAATAACCTGTTTGAGTTCTAGTTTTGTTGCGCAGGCAGCACGACGTACGGAAGGAGGGAGTGTTCACGCGGCGTATGGGACGCGGGGGGACTGTTCGCACGCTGTACGGAAGGAACACTGTCTGCGTGGCGTACTTGGAAGGAAGGACTGTCTGCGCGGCGTACTTGGAAGGAACACTGTCTGCGCGGCGTACTTGGAAGGAACACTGTCTGCGCGGCGTACTTGGAAGGAACACTGTCTGCGCGGCGTACTTGGAAGGAACACTGTCTGCGCGGCGTACTTGGAAGGAACTGACTTGTGTCTGCGCGGCGTACTTGTGTCTGCGCGGCGTAATGTCTGGACTGTCTGCGCGGCGTACTTGGAAGGAACACTGTCTGCGCGGCGTACTTGGAAGGAAGGACTGTCTGCGCGGCGTACTTGGAAGGAAGGACTGTCTGGAAAAAGGACTGTCTGCGTACTTGGAAGGAACACTTGTCTTGCGCGGCGTACTTGGAAAGGAAGGAACTGTCTGCGCGAAATGTACTTGGAAGGAAGGACTGTCTTGGATAAGGCTTTTTATGTACTTGGAAGGTGTTTTATTTTTGTTCTGTTTTCAGGTTGAGCCGTTCACTCAAAAACAAAGTCATTTTGTGTCGTGGAATCTGCTGCACACACTCACCCAACACTGTTCAACTTCAATGCAACATTTGGAAAAACTTCACCAACTGGCAAAACAAATTTGGACTTGGTACCAAAAATGTAAAGAGGAAGGCTGCTTATGTTGGGCTAAAATATCCGGTACCATGATCATCATCAGAAGAGAAGGTCGAGCAAGTTCATGAAAATCTCTTGTGAGTTCAGACCGAGCTCCATTTGTGAACAATAATACAGTGTGAGGTTTGTGCTGGACGTGTTTAAAACTGGCACTGACGCTTTTCTAATCAGGACAAACTGTGGTGAAACACAACACACTGTTCACAAATAACACACTGGACACTCTGCCATTTGTGCAAACACCAAAAAACACATTTCTTCTCCACCAGGAGCCCACATGACAGACCCAGCAGCCACAGCCGACCTCCACTCCCGATGCAGAGGCTCCTACAGAGGAGACACTGGAAATCCTAAAAAATATGCCTAAAATAAATAAATATAATAAAATGTGTACAATAAAAACAAGTAAAAGTATAAGATTTCAATCAAAAGCTAAGCTAAAAAGGTGGGTCTTGAGCCTACTCTTAAAAACATGAATGTTCTCTGCAGCCCTGAGCTCCTCCGGCTGCAGTTCCATAGACGAGGGCCATAATACTGAAAAGACGCCTCTCCGTGAGTGTGTGTCCTGACTTTGGGAATGACCAGGAGCTGCTGCCGGAGGAGCGCAGGGTCCGCGAGGGTTCGTAAGGTAAAAGCAGTTCTGAAAGATAAGAAGACCCAAGACCATTAAGACATTTAAAAACCAGTAAAAGAACTTTAAAATCGATCCTGAAACTCACAGGGAGCCAATGCAGTGATTTTAAAACCGGTGTAATGTGGTCCCGCCCTCTGGTCCTCGTCAGGACACGTGCTGCTGAATTTTGTAATAATTGCAAACCTGAAATACTCTTTTTGGGAAGACCAGAGAGCAGGGCATTACAGTCGTCTATTCGACTGGTGATAAAAGCATCAGCGTCTCTGTGTTGGCCAGAGAGAGAATGGGGCGGACTCTGGCTATGTTTTTTAGGTGATAAAAAACAATTTTTGTCCTCTTTACATTTTTTAAAGTTTTTCCAAATGTTGCATTGAAGTTGAACAGTGTTGGGTGAGTGTGTGCAGCAGATTCCACGACGCAAAATGACTTTTGTTTTTGAGTGAACGGCTCAACCTGAAAACAGAACAAAAATAAAACATTACATATAAAACCTTGATCTGTTTCTATACATTTTGTGAATTTTTTTTTTGTTTATTTCTACAAGAATTGCCAAAATTACTGTCCTGCGAAATCAAAGTTCAGTATCAAAGTTTTTGGGACACCCTGTATATTTAAAGATGCAGTAACAGAACAAAAATATTATAACATCTAAACATTAAATAAAAAAATCTTGATCTGTTTTTATACATTCTGTGAAAATTTCAGGTTATTTCAACAAGAATTGCCAAAATTATTGACCTGAGAAATGAGGTCACATTTTTTTGGGACACCCTGTATTATCATGTTTATTTTATTTATTATTTTTTTAATCAAAAAAGAAAAGAAAAAATTAACTTTTATTTTTTTAAGAGTTTTTTTCTAGTTCAAATTGGTTATTCTTCTACAAAATCTTTTTTTTTTTTTAGAAAAGAAATGTGTTTTTTGGTGTTTGCACAAATGGCAGAGTGTCCAGTGTGTTATTTGTGAACAGTGTGTTGTGTTTCACCACAGTTTGTCCTGATTAGAAAAGCGTCAGTGCCAGTTTTAAACACGTCCAGCACAAACCTCACACTGTATTATTGTTCACAAATGGAGCTCGGCCTGAACTCTGCTGCGGGATTTTCCTCAGCTCTTTCGGTGCCACAGGCGTCGAGGTTTGAGTCCGCGAGCGCTTCAGTCTGATTAGAACCAACAAAGCCCCGTGAGACCTGGGCCCACGGCTCTGCGATCAAACACGCATAAGACCCGTTCTGCTCGCAAAATCATCCTGTTTTTTTCAGTTAAAATCCACCGACGAACTTTACAAAGCTGATTATTCAAACCGCTTTTCTGCCCTTGACCACTGTACTCTCCAAAAGAAGTGACTCGGAAAAAAAATAAAATAAAATAAAAGAGCTATAGTTGAAATAAAAAGTTTAAGTTGAACTGTATAACTTTTGTATTGGATTTTGTGTGTGTGTGTGTGTGTGTGTGTGTGTGTGTGTGCGTGTGTGTGTGTGTGTGTGTGTGTGTGTGTGTGTGTGCATTAACATTTACTACTTTAACATTATTTAGCTCAGTTGGCAGATGTTTGTCCACTGACCTACAGGTTGGCAGTGTGTATAGGCCAGTTTCATTGTTGACAAAAGCGCGCGTTGCATGATGGGAATTATTTTGTTCGTCAACAAGAAACACTAATTCAACATGACGGACGGAGCGAGAAAACACGTAAACCAGGGGAGTTCACACTTTTTCAGCCTGTGAGCTGCTTACAAAATGAAAATGATCTACCTAATACAAAGCCAAACAAACTGCACTGAAACACTCTGTGCCCCTTTTTTGGACCCTCCCCCACAGTTTGAGAACCTCTTCTTTAAGAGAACTTCCTCTGACACTTTACACAAAACTGTGAAAAAAGTGAAGGAAGATTTTTAAACCTGTTTTTTAAAGTTCCAAACTGGAGTTTCATTCTTTTCTGGTTTTGCAGTGATATTTACCAGCCTCTGCACGTTTACCAAACCAAACACACATCGTGACAAACACAGATGCATTTGTCACTTTTGTTAGACAAACTTCAGCCAAATGTGGCCGTAGGTCTGTTCTGTAGATCCGCTCTATGCTGTAGACCTGCTTTGTGCCAACACTGGAACACAAATTTAGACTAGTTTTTGCTTCACGTTTGGTCTTGCTCTTCTAATCAGCCGCACTGTGGGAGGGGCTTGTGTTGGCTGTACGCAGGAAGGAGCGAGAGCGTGAAAAGGCGAGGGGCGGCGTGCTGACGTGAGGCAGATGGACAGGTAGGATGTTTAGGAAGTTGAACCTGCCCTGTGACGCACGCTGGTACACGAGGGCACACGCTGTCGCAGACGAGCCGTGCATAGGGAGCGTGTGTGTTTGTGATGCGCCGTAGAGTCTCCGCGGGTTTCAAATGAGCGCACAGGCTGCACTGAGACGCCCCACACGCTCCTGCACCCGCTACAAGTTTATTACCAACAGCAGCGGCCGGAATGAAATATGATCACACTTGTTGAGTGTCAGACCTCGAGTGAGAGACAAGACCGAGTCCAAACACGATCGAGTCCGAGACGAGACACGGCGATCTACCCACACGACCTTGGTGATTGACTGGTAGATTGCGATCGACGTATTGAGCACCCCTGACGTAAAGGGTATTGATCTCGGTTATTTATCCACTCTAACGGCAGAGGACCCAAGACGATTCAACCAGAAATTGGTCATAAGCATCGACGGAGCCAAATCACCCTTTTCAACCCCGACAAAAGGTGGACCAAACCAAATTTCTGGTCAGAATCTCCAACTACCTGGACAAATATTCACTTGGGCGATATCCACAATGACTTGGTGGAAACTCCTGGGCCATTCACAGCAGAAAAGATGAAAACCTCCAAGAGTCTCGATGTGTTGTTGAACTTGTTGGAGTCCACGGTTTGTTAGGATCTTCTACGTTTGCTCTGCGGATGTTTGAAAGCCGTTTAATTCACCGTTAGCGGTTCTTTTCACTCAGAATATGAAAAAGACATTTTCCTTCTTCCGTGCATCTGTTTGTGCATCCGATAATGCAGCAGGAATTTACCATTATCGGGGATAAATACGCGAGGTTACGCACTGTGTTTGACGTGTTTCTTGCCTCCGACCAAAATATTTCCCAGCAGCAACGCGGGCTTTTAATAACAATGACGTCAGCTGAAACTCGCCTATTCTAGCTGTCCTTGTGTCCTTTGGCTTGTGTGCACTGGTGTAGGAGTGTGTGTGTTGTGTGTGTGTGTGTGTGTGTGTGTGTGTGTGTGTGTGAGTGGTTCATTGGCATGAAGGACTTGAAGTACCTTGAAGGTGGAAATATGTTGTACAAAAACGTGACCATTTACCATTTATAAAGACAAACAAGTCCGATCAATTCTGAATTATTATTTCCATGTAAAGTCCAAGGAGAATATTTAAATTCTGAACAATTAATTTGGAATTAAAAAAAAAAAACATCATGTAAACGTGGCAGGTGACACGACCAGAGTGAACAGATTTTCAGAATTTAAAACTGGGACACGCTGGGTTGGGATGGTTGACATAATTAAAATACTGAAAGAAAGTGTGTGGCTTTGTTCACTCGACTCACTGTGGGTCAGTGTTTCATCTGAGACAAAATACACAAGTGCAGTCTGTTCTTTTTTGGCTCAACAAATACAATTTATGCTCCCCTGGTTTACACCTGGTTTAGTCTGGTTTAGTCCTGGTTTAGACCTGGTTTAGTCCTGGTTTAGACCTGGTTTAGACCTGGTTTAGACCTGGTTTAGACCTGATTTAGCCCTGGTTTAGACCTGGTTTAGACCTGATTTAGACCTGGTTTAGTCCTGGTTTAGACCTGATTTAGTTCTGGTTTAGACCTGATTTAGTCCTGTTTTAGTCCTGGTTTAGACTTGGTTTAGACCTGATTTAGTCCTGGTTTAGTCCTGGTTTAGACCTGGTTTAGACCTGGTTTAGACCTGATTTAGACCTGATTTAGTCCTGGTTTAGTTCTGGTTTAGACTGGCTCAGTCTTGGTTTAGACCTGGTTTAGACCTGATTTAGACCTGATTTAGTACTGGTTTAGTCCTGGTTTAGACCTGGTTTAGACTTGGTTTATCCTGATTTTAGTCCTGGTTTTAGACTTGGTTTAGTT